TTTGGTCTCGCTCCTGTTGCTAGTGAAAACGTATCTGGTGCAAAACTCCTGCACCATCACCAACCCTGCCACTACTGAAATGGGTTTGTGACCTCAGCAGAGGCCAGGAGCTGAATGGGCTGTAGAAGCTGAACTCCACTCTCTCTTGAGATACAGAAGTGCTCTGCGCATGTTTTACGGCACTATAATTTAGAGTAGTTTTTATAGCACTATAAAGTTACAGCACTCTTGAACATGACAGAAGCGCAGTGTTTGGTGTGGGTTGGGGGGGAACTCAAAGCCTCGCTGAACTTTCCAGGCTAGGAGGCAGGAGGTACCCTGCTGCTGCCTGGATGGCAGGAGACAGCAGCAGACCAGTAGAGAAAGCAAAGCTGGGATGAGTGGCTGTCATCCCCTTCCCCCCAGCACTGCCCAGCCCAGAGTTCAAGCCCCACCGGGCACCACCAGCTGCTGGGAGCTCCACAGGGCCTGGGGGCCCCCAGCCCAGAGCCAGCCTCTGTGTCTGCAGAACGAGCTGTGCTCCCAGGAGCCAGGGTTCACTCTCCCTTCTCCTCCCTCCCCCACCCCAGTCCCATCTGGACAATTGCTGCCATATCAGTTGACTGGTGGGTTTCTGGCTTTTGCAGGTTTGGCTACTGCTCCTGGGCTACTCCTGGTGGTGCCAGAGAGCACTAACCAAGCTCACAAAGCCCATGGGTTACTGACAGAATCACCAGAAATTGGACCAGTGTGCAGAAGTTATTTAACGCACTGTAGCTCACTGAAGGGTGCAGACAGAAATGCAACTCCTGGGTCTAACTCATGGCAACTCATAGAAAGTGTCAGGAGTTAGACTGATCCTTCCTGATCCAACAGACATTAGCTGTTGGATTGGGGTGGTGGAAGATTGGCTCCAATTTGGAGACAATCCAGAGAGAGAGGCTGTGTCTTCCCCTGGCTCCACCCCTGCCCTCCCAACTCCATTGCTGTCTCTGGATGGGAATGGCAGAAGGCAGGGGAGGGAGGTCTTCTGGGGTTTTCTCAACACCACTGGAGGGGCGGGGGGTAGATTGGAGCCCCCCAAAAAGTGAGAAGCTCCAATCTACTGGCCTCCCCCTTGCTCCAGCGGGGCTGAGAAAAGTCCAGAAGGGATCTCCCTCCCCTGCCTTCTCCCCCTCCCATCCAGAGATAGCAGTTACAGCACACTGTGCTGCAGCCAGATCAGACAGATATTAATTAAGTCACTCCACTTAAGAGCAGCTTCATTTGAACCCTCATGCAATGAGGGTTAATTTGTCACACGATCAGAGGGCTCTGCATCTGTGCTCTTCTGATTGAGCGGTGCTTTAGAGTGATTTCAAGGGGTCAATCACACAACAAATGTCATTTCTGTCTGTGCCCAAAGTGCTGTAAAATACAGCACTTCAAATTTAATACCTCATTTAACAAGTGCTAATTTGAAGTGTTGTACCCATTGTTAAAGTGCTGTAAAGCCATGCACTTCTGTTAAGTCATGGCAATAAAGCACTTTAAATGGCAGAAAAAAGCAACTTCTGTACACAGCCATTGTTTGTTTGAACAGTCTTTTAGGAAAATGTTGGTTAGGTAGGAGGGGAAAGAAGGGATAATGTCTTGCTGTTTTGAGCTATGTTTTTAAGGATAGTTCAGGACTGCTGCTCCTAACCCCTGTCCCCAGCAGCAAATAGAAACATCTTTAAAGGTAAAAAGATAAAGAAATGGGTTTGTTTCATAATCTTTTGGTTTGGTGCATAATAAGCCCAGCTTTGTTTGGCAGAGAACAGAAAATGAAGTTCGTGAAACTTCTTTATTGTGTGGGTTTAAAAAAAATGAAGCCTCTTCTTTTGTAACTGTAACATTTGATCTCTAAATGAGTTTGACAGGGGAAGAGAAATTCCCATTAGAGAGCAGAGTCCGATTAGCATTTTGTGGAATGGCATTAGCCAGCCGGAGTGTCAGATAGAGCGGAGAAACGCATTCATTAAAGACAATAAAGCAAACATCTTCTCTGCGATCTTAAGGAAAAGGACAGATCTGTCACCTATAATTAAATCAACCTGAGTGAGAGATAAATGAGTCTGATCTTTCCAGGGCCATGATTGTTCTGTTTGTATGAGGAAATGAGGTGGTGGGGGGGGAGTTCTCCTGGGAAGAGGGTGAGGATGAGGGGAATGGAGGTGCATACTGGGGACATGTTAGCGCTGTTCTGGCCTCTTCTTGTAGCCATTCTGTCCTGGTGTGGTAAAGTTCAGAGCACTGGTCCCTTGGGAATCCCTGTGATACAGGGTCCGTGAAACAGCCTTTGCCTTGTCCCTTTGCAGCCCCTTGTAGAGGGGCTTGCTGGAGACTGTGGTGGGAACACACTGTGAGGAGCCACTACTTTGAGCTGTTGTGATGTACCTTGAAGGGGGGCTGCACTTTCACCTGAAAAGCTTCAAGGTCTAGTATCTGGGGAGTGTCCAGATGTTACAAGATCCCTCCCATTTCCCAGTCCCTGCACAGAGTTCAGCTGAGCAAAAATGAGACCTAGGGCAGTTTAATAATAAGCCTCTCTTACAACTCTGCACTCCAAGAAAGCCTCATTAACACTAGAAAATGAGCAAACGACCTGCTGAAAAAGACTCCACTCTGGGAAACAGCAGGTGAATTAACAAATGAACGTAAATGGACAAAGAAGACTTTTATAGGGAAAACAGCAGTCAGGTGCTATGTACAGTTCTTTCTAATGTTCTGTGTGAATTAGTAACAATTGTGCAGTCTCGGTCGTAGAAGAGCTTGGTACCTTGCCGCCTTTTGGATTGCAAAATGTGTAGAGTGTACTGATCTCAGAGGCAGATCTAACACCAACTAATGCAGGGGCCCTGGAGGCAATGTTCTCAAGGAGCTGCCAAGAAGGCAAGATATCTGGATTAAGCAGGCCACAGTCATTCACAGCGTATCCAGGAACTGGGTGGTTGAGGATAAGCAGTGTCTCCTGGTCTCACTCATTCCTTATGATTTGTCCACTCCGATTAAGAACAAATGACTGGCTGAAGGACTGGGCCCATAGCACAGAAACTTGGCTTGTGGTGCACATCTCCTGTGCTGTTCACAAAACTGGCATCAAACCTGATGTTTGAATCCCAGATGTGCTTCAAACAATGCTCCAATATTTGTTCTTTGCTATATCAGCCTGCAGCTGCCTGATCTGCTGCTGTCTGCAGGTTATGGGCTAAACTGGCCAGAAGCTGATTACCAGCCTAAATAGCACTGCACATACCTTGGAGCTCAGTTCTGCACTCTTTTCTTTTGGACAACACTGTTCAGTTTTTGTTGCCAGCAGGATCTGGGAAAACAGTAGTCCATAGCACGAAACCCATTTCTAAAACTGGTCCTAGTCCCTACAAGCCAAGCTTTGCACGGCTCATAGAAGCTGATCAGTTGTTGCGGGAAAGAGAAGGTCTTTGTAATTTAGAAAGGAAGCACATTGATGAAGGAGTGTGTGTATGGCGAACCTGCTCTGGTGCTGCTCTTGGGATTCTCAGATGTGTCCCTTTAACCAGCACTAAATTCCTTCTCATTGCCCGTGTCACAATAATTTATTTTTAGAATTAATTTAATTTTTAAAAGCAGGGTGAACAAAATGGCTCATAATCATATTGCGAGTTTTGTTTCACTTAATTATCCTGCACAATCTCACTTTCAAGCTCTGGAGCAGAGTGGGCAGAGACAATGGGTCACTAGCACTTGATTTCCTTTATTGGAGGAAAAGTCTCCCTTCTACTTGCGATGTGACCGGTTGTGTGGATCTGTGCAGAAAATTATATCTGCATTGACATACTCCTGTGCCTGGCCACAGGCCTCTCAAAAGTTACAGTGAGAAAATGGTAGTGTAAACATTAGTTGCTGGCCTGTGGTAGACCCTCTAAATGCTAGAACTGGTCTTGTTACCCATGGCAGCTGGATTACAGTAGCACATGCTATAATTATACCTCCATTCTGCGGTGTGGATCTACTCGCAAAGGGTTCTTTTCTATGGCCTATGGGATTAACCAGGATAGCAATTCTGATTATTGGGGGGATGGCCCCTGACCCTTCCAGTTTCAAATGGTCAAAGATAGGATTGCCCTTTTGTTTAAAAAAAGAAAAGAAAAAAAGAAGTGAGCAGGAGTTATTTGGCAAATCTCAGTGCCTGTGCAGTGCCTGGGAGCCTGCTGCAAGTAATCTCTAAATAGGAGCTAGGGTACCGCCAGCTAGTTTTTGACAGTTGTATGCTGAGGTTTACTGAAAAGCACATTTGCTCCTGTAGCATCCAGAAACAAGTAGGAAAACCCACAAGTGCAGGTACTTTTAAAGTCTCTGTTCTGCCCTGAACAAGCTGCATGTTCCTGATTGTTCATAGCAAAGTGACCCCTCCTCCTGTTGATTTGTGTTGTATGGCTCTTACATCTGTTCCATAAATGATCTGTTGAAATCCAGGACCTACCCATCAGGATTAGATTTTTTTATATATTATATATATATATATAGTGTGTGTGCAGGGGTTGAAAATGTGTATCGTTAAAGAAGTTACTCACTGCCCTATTGTTCTGTGTTAGTTCTCTAGGCATGTCAACACTGCCTTGAATCTACCATGTACTACCGCATCCCTAGGGCAGGCCATCCAGAAAGTTGCTTTGGTTTACAAAAGCAAATGCTACATTTAATTTTGAGACCAAATGAACAACTAACAACCTGCCATCCTTTGAAATTTTGTGCTGCCCAAACCAAGAAAAAAAAGCTGCACCTGATTCCTACAGTGTTGTCAGCAGTCCACAGTCGCTTTGTTCAAGCCATAACTTGGGGAGATCCATGTACAATGACGTTAAGCAAGGCTGCACTATTTGGTCTGAGAGCTAAGGAGAACCACAGTGTTTATTTGTGTCCAGCAGCATTAGCCCTTTTTTGGTTCATTTTGCAAAATTCCTGCATATACCATAAATACATGTGTTTGTCACTTGATACTTCTCTCTTTGCTTCTACAGTTCTCCTGCTGTGGAGGTGATGAATACAAAGACTGGAACGTCAATCAGTACCATTCATGCAACAACAGTGGGCCTCTGGCGTGTGGGGTTCCGTACACTTGCTGCATCAGAAAGGTAAATGTGCGAAAGGCAAAATTATTAATATGAGAAATTAGAGTATCGTACAAAACAGTCACATAACTTGCTAGGAGCATGTAGCATCTGCTTCCTCTGTCTCTTCTCACAATCTGGCTGATACTACAGAACAACCTTCTGCACTGCATCTCATACCCTCTGAAGGACCCTGCTGATATCTATTCATCTGTTATGTTTTGCAACAAAACCTTTGAGATTTGAAAGCTTTTTGTTCCACATTGTAACTTTAAGTGACTTCTGGAATGGATTTATGAAACAAAAGAGTGTGTGAGGGAGATGTGCACACATACACAGTTTCAAGTACCTACTCTGCGTGTTTCAAAGCAGAGTCTTTTATCCCAGATCACTCCAAGTGAAGCAGAACACACACTTGAACCTGGCTCTTCCACATCCCAAACTAATATTTTAACCCCAGGTTATCAAGTGTTGCCTGCATACATGCTATAATGCTTGCTTCCCAACACCTCAACAAAGGCATTTTTCTTTGTTCCAAGCAGATCAGTTTGCCATATGATATCCAGGGAGGGGAGAGGGAATCAGACAGGGTTTGTGGCGGGTGCAGGGATCCCACCTCAAGAACACAGCTGGGTATTCGTATCCCTCCGCTGTTTCCACCATGTGAGGCGGGCCAGTAGGGGGTGCTCCTGTGTCGAGCCACCCACCTC